GTAATCATTAAGTAAAACAGTGTTAGAACCAAGACTAAGTTCTGAGCAAGGCTGGGCCAAAGGACTGAAGAGATGGCAAATGGAATCAGTCCTCCTTAAGACTCCTAACTGTTGTCTCTCTCCTTACCTCCATTCCTCCAGTTTCTGTCCAGAGTCTCAAATGTGAACTTCTCCAGTGTGCTCAGTGAAGGTGTTTGGTCTAGAATGGGTATTAGAGAATCTGTTTCTAGAATTCAGGTTTAACCTGATGTGATTTGTGCTTTTATTCATTGTCTTTAACTTGGCTGTTATTACCTGGATATTTTTTCCCCCCGTGTTATTCTGTTGAATAAAGGTTGACCTTTCTGTCAATTTACAAAGTTCTTTGAATGAAGGTCTTGAGTGTTTTGTTGGTGTTTTGCATAGTTCACATCTAGTGCCCTGTACAAAGGCTTTGTCCGTGTTCTGATGCCCTCAGCTCTTGAGTTTGTCACCTTCCAGCAGACATTTTAGAAAATGTCTCACTTTATGTTATAGTATGTTGGGAGTTGAGAGGGATTGGAGAAAACAGTTGTAAGTATTATAATAGTCAAGGAGCTTTTAATATCCAAAAGTATACCACATATTATAAGATAAAAAATTAAATCCAAGTAAATGAGGATCAGGTTTAAAAGTGCCCTTGTGAGGTTTATGACTCAGTCAACTCCCATTAATAGTAAATTTTCTTATTATGAGCATTGTTGATCTAATATGCTCAGTCAGTCAACTATAGTTCTCAAAATAAGACAAGCCTTATTTATTTGGGAGGATAGTTCAATTTCAGCCCCTTAAGTATATTATTGGACATTATATCTGAATAAATGTTAAGCCAAATCTCTTCATGTTCTTTTCTGATGGAGCAGCTCAGGCTTCATCAGAGGTGATCTAGACTAATGCCAGCTTCTGTGAGCCTATATAATATACTGTTGAAAGTCTTTCAGTCAGTACTTGAACTGCATTTAGGGCATGTTGCTGGTTGCATTGTCACAATTTCCTTTTGGAAGAAACTGGTATCAAGCCTCTGGGATAACTTTCCTTGTTCATAGGAGACAGATGATCCCATCTGTTTTGGTGAGGGGGTACATTGTTCATCTTGCTTTGGTCAGTCCTTTGGAGAAATTTTGATAACAGTTACTTGTAGAATTTTATTTTTTTATTCACTAGTAGTCTCTCTTCATACTTTTTATTTCTGACTTTGATTCCTCACCACTTCTTTACTTGAATATAGCCTCTCCCACAGTCTGTCAGATGCTTCTTGAAAATTGGGCAGGTACCTTATTTTTATTCTCTGTTTATAAACACCTGGCTTTCAAATGGGAAAGCTTTATCTAACATATGGTGTATTCAGAATATTTCCAGTAATAAGAAATTATTGTTGAATTCCTATTGATAAAATCATGTTTGTGTGTGCTCTTTCATAAATTATATGTGCATGTGGACTTGGGCTATGATATCCATTAAATTATAAACTCTGATCAGAGAATAAAGAAAGAATAAAGATGAACTGTACAGTATATCAAATGTGTTATTGATTTTCTTGTTGGCTGGCTTTATATTTTATTCACCTAATGTATTAGTAAATAATATACCTTTAAATCAAGATCCATAAAAAACTATCAATAACAATATTTTATGAATCTTGATTTATTGATAGTTTCTAATTTCTTAAGTTCATGTGATACATGGTAGATTATTTTATGTCTAACCTCAGAAAGTGGCTTATACTAGAATTGATAATTGGCTCTCCCTTTTCTTAAGTTTTTCTTACTATTATCATTCTCAACTAGATGGCCCCTCCCCTTCCACAACATGGGAATCCTTTTTAAGCTACCTTTTAAGTCAAGATAATTTTAATTAAAGCTAGGTTATCCAATCTAATCCTCCAAATCCACTTAAAGTTATTTATAAGGGGATATGTACAGGGTAAAGACAGATGATGGTGCCATTGGTCACCTCTGCCCTCTGAGGACTCTTAGTCTTCTTCAAGGAAGTATGCATGGTGCATGGGGACTGAATGCAGATCTTGGGTGCAGTGCATCTGTTACATATAAGTACAGAATGTTATTTTTAAGTAATAAAAGTATGTATTTGATGGAATCTTAACATTTACCTCCCACAGTATATAGTATCTCAGCATGCAAACCTGAGTCATTCTGATGGCTTGGTCTCCACTTAAAAATTGATGGTCATTTTTAAATGACTGTGTATGGAAGATATCCTTGAGCTGTGGACAGACCCAGCATATATATATATAACTGTAGGAAGTAATAGTGGTTCTTTGGTCCAAGCAATCAACTATTTTATCTTGTCGCTGCCTAATATATAGTTTCCCAACTGCCACTAGGCTTCTGCTGTGAGATGCTCATGTGATGGACCCTCTGCTTGCTCTAAGCTGCTTGGGAAACATGGATGCATAACACTGAGAGAACAAGGAAAACTGGGCCATGTATAGACAGAGGGTTTCGTTGGTGTCTCGGCCCAGTTTCCTGAATCCATGTCCCCCCCCCACACTTCCTGATAATGGGGGAGGAGAAGGGTAGATAACTTGCTTTTAAATTCTGAGAAACTGAGTTTTTCCTAAAGTGGGAGCTAAGTAAAGAATTCAGTGAATATCATGGTGTCTCATAGGACTTCACATGTAGGGCATATGTGAGACCCATCAGAGGGTCCTCAGAGATGCTTGTGTAAAAGTCCTAGACATCCTGCCTGGAGATTTCAGGGATGGGGCGGAATTGAGATGTCTTTCTCTCAGTTCTGGGACAGGTTTAGTTTCCACTCTTGTCTTTACTTTAAAGTACTGAAAACTTTTAGCAAATTCTGTCTCTGGACTTGAGATTGATGTCCTATGTGGGTGGTGGGAAATCATGGCAGTCCCAGCCTGAGGACAGAATTAGATGTAGATGGCATATCTCTATTTGGAGTGAAGTAACAAGATGCTTCTGAATTCTGGCCTTTCAGCACTTTGGACAGAGGCCTTGTGGTGCTGTTCTGTTCTTCAGGTTATCATATCCAAATGGATCCTTTACTCATTCCTGCAGCTTGATGCAGTCCTTCTGTATCAGATAACTTTCAAATTGGTAATGCCAATTTGCACTCATCTTTGTTACAGTGTTTGTGACCTTTATTCTTCGGTATAGAGGCCTGGCATCTTTGAGTATAGTCATCATCTCTATGGAACACAAAGACCTTCCATATAGGTTCTCTTCATACGTGTGCTCTACCACTTGCATGTGCCAACAGGTCTACAGAACCAGTCTTTCTGGTAGTTTGCATCCTGGATTAAGTAGTTTATCATAATATTGGTAACCTTGTTGCTTTTATTTAGTCACCAGGTATATATAATTAACCAGCAGTGACCCAGGCCTGTCCACTGTGCTTAGTGGTACATTGAGAGGGTAGTGGGACAAGACACACACCAGAAGAGGATCCTGTGTCATGGTGATTTGTTCCATTTTCTTAGTTTGTGGTACATTGACCTAGTCTTTCTCATTTTTGCAAAGCGCATAAATTCCCAGTGGAAATTGGGGGCAGGGATGGGCATAGAAAACATTCATTCATTTCTAGAAGACCAAAAGAGAGATTGGGCTTTTATAGGACTAAAGGTAGTTGCTTATTCATATGTGCTTCAACCTGTACCTCGGGCTCTATAGAAAGGTTGATACTTTTCTCAAACTTAATCTTTCAGAGGTGTTAAAAGAAGAAAATATTTGTGCCCCCTGACCTGGGGTGGCATTTGGGGAGTGTTAAGCATTGTGGCAGCTTATGGTGGTCATATGGCTATACATTAGTCTTTTTGAAACTAACAAAACAAGGAAGGATCAGAGACTCTAAGACTAATTTATGCATTGGGAAAAGTGTGTAATTATCCCAATCACTTTCTTTTAAAAAATTTTTAAGTGCTGAGTATGTGACTCAATGGCATATACCAGGCCCTGGGTTCAATTTCTAGCACTGAAGGAAAAAAAATTATTTTAAGATAAGTTCAAGTTGGTTGTCTCTTGCCTAGCTTCTTAAAACTAAATGGTCCTATACTTTTCATGGCACAGTTAAACACTGCATCAGGTTCAGTGTCTTAAGCTCCTGACTTTTTGCTCATTAAAGCTAAGGTCCTTCTCTAGACCTTAGCAGAGTATATTTGAGAAATGGGAGGATTAAGCAAGATGGTCCATAAGGTTTTTCTATCTGTAATTATACCCCTTTGAGTCTAAAAGATGAGAATCCTTCAAAGCTGAGAGATAAAGGGAAATTTAAAGAATTCAGTAAACTGCAGAGTTTGAATATTAATTCCTTCATTTTGCTAGCCCTGTGTTCTTGGACAGGCCACCCAGTCTGTGTGTGTATTGATATCTTCAAGAATTAGTAAAGCAATTTTACAATACTAAAGTACTTGTGGGCACCCAGCATTTGCTCATTGAGAGCACACATGTTAACTCTTCCAGAGCTTCCATATTTCCTCCAAGTAGTTTCCTCAAATGACCACCACTGTTTCCCCTGCACTGACCCTTGTAGAGATTGGCTTTATTCATTGGACAAGCTGGCAGTGGTACCCCTTTTCTTAGGAATGTGAAAAGACCCAGTGTTCTGAGGCTTCACATAGAAGTAATATACAGATGTCCCCTTGGAATGTGGCAGTAACAAGCCCAGTTTTCTTCAATATCAAGGGGAAACATTAAAACTGAAGTTTGCTAAATGTGTGTTTTGCAGGTTGGACAATCTGCTCAATATGGCTTATGGAGTAAAGAGGTAATGATAGAGGTTCATGATATTCATAATCCCTTCCCACAGTTAGTTTCTTTGATTTGGGGAGTGATATTTCCACCCTCATAAGTTTGTGTTGGATTTTATTTTGCATGTTAATCTAATGAAAAGCTGCTTTCTGAAGCATGGTTGACTCATGGAATATTTCTATACCACTGGATGCCACCTGGTCATATAAAAACCCATTATTTTAGTGTTGCGTTGTAACATTATAGCATGTTTCTATTTGTGTTGATTTTTGCTCCCCAGTCCTGCTTACCTCATGAAGCCAGTTCTAAGTACATTTCTTTGCCATTGTAGATGGTATTATTCAGTGCAGCAAGTAATGACCATTTTGTAGTTTAGTAATACCTTGATAGTGCAGCATGTCACTGCAAGCCACACATAGCTTGATTGAAAAATTGAATAGCTATACATGTATCTGTTGGGGAGGAGAATTGCTAAAATTTGGGGGGATTAAAAAAATGGAAAAAAAGTCCATTGCTGTAACCAATCTTTCTCTCTCTCTCTCTCTCTCTCTCTCTCTCTCTCTCTCTCTTTGTGTGTGTGTGTGTGTGTGTGTGTGCGTGCGTGCGTGTGTGCGTGCATGCACGTATGTCCCCTATTTTGTTTAGTAGGTTTTCTCCAATGACCATTGACGGAATGACCAGTTTGGCTGGAATTAATATCCCTGGGCACCCTGGAACAGGGTGGTGTATATTTGTGTACAACCTGGCTCCCGATGCAGATGAGAGTATCCTGTGGCAAATGTTTGGGCCTTTTGGAGCTGTCACCAACGTGAAGGTCATCCGTGACTTTAACACCAATAAATGCAAAGGTTTTGGATTTGTGACTATGACAAACTATGATGAGGCCGCCATGGCGATAGCTAGCCTCAATGGATACCGTCTGGGAGACAGAGTACTGCAGGTCTCCTTTAAGACAAACAAAACGCACAAAGCCTAATGTGCTCTTGTCCTCAGTCCATTTATATATGAAAACTATACAACAAAGGCAAGTTAAGAGAAACTTTATACATTAGTAAATGTCTTTGTAAGTCAGTGTTGAGATGGGGATAAAACGACTACTTAGCATCCTAAGAAATATGTGAGATTTTTTATTGCTAGTATTTGAATTAAAACTTCTTAAATATCTTTTATGTTTGAATATGGACAAGAGGTACAGGGTTTTTACCTGTCACATTGCATTCTATTGCCTTCTTTGAAGAAGGTGGACCTTTTAAAGTGTTTCAGCTAAGGGAAGACATTTCTTTTCTTTTTACATAACTGCCTTGAACCTGTGAGTAAATATTGAGGCTTTGTGTTGTAATTCTTCAGTTGGTTGTGTCTTATTTTTCCCCCCTTTTTTTTTTCCTTTTCTGATTAGCTTTGTGTTTGGTTTACATTTAAAGCATTGCTGTTATGTCTAAGAAAAGTATTTTGAAGTTTACATTTTTATTTATGAAGTTAAAAACAGTATTTATTTTGTAATTATGATTTGGGTTGGGGAAGGGGGGGGCTACATTATAAACGCTTATTGTAAGAATACTGGAGAACTTTTCGTAAAGCAGTACCTTGCCAAAGAGATAAGAGCCTCTTTGATGTGGGTTTAAAAAAAGCATCTATTTTTATAAAAAAGAAAATTTGGAGAAACTTTTTACTGGTCCTGGAACAAATATTTTGACTTGAATACTTTGAGAAATCTCTTCATATGACACCTAGTGAGCTTTTAAAATTTACCAGGAAATTTGCAGTGGTTGGAAAATTTAGAAAGATTTATGATGTAGAAAATACTTTTGAGATCTTTGTATGAAAGGAATAGAATCAATGAGGGAAACACTGCTGGTTTCATTTTTGTAATCACCAGTGGAGCGTCTGATCATCCTGGTTATTATGTGATAGGTGGCTCACATTGATTTGTGATTTTGAAACAAATAAAAAAAATTTACAAAAGAATATATAAGAGCAGGCAAGAAATTTAAATTACCAAGAGACGGGGGAAAAAATCTGTTCTTCCTAAAGAAATCCCTTCAGATAGAGCTCATGGTGTTTAGTGATGTACTTGCAGTATTGTTTGAAGAATTGTTTTGTCTTAAGGAAAAAAGATGTTGCACATGATTTGTACTGCAGCAAATCGACAAAAGTGATCTGAGTTGGATATATTTGAAGGTATTTTGAAAGTTACGTTTAAGGCTAACACCTGAGCTTTGTGTAATGTAAATAAGACCTTGTGTTTATGAACCTTTCAGCTAATTTGATTTTTTTTCCCTTACATGCCAAGTGATGTTCAGGTTTTGAATGTTTTTGTATCAGTTTTTTCCTTTGTAAATGGCATTAACATTGTTACTTGAGGTCTTGCTTAATCACTTTTGTTGTCCTGAGGACTTGAATTTACAGTGCATCAGATTCGTTGCTAATTTTGTCTGTAGATAGTCTAGCTTCAGCTGTTTATGGTGATGCTACATTTTCGTTTATAAATATGTTTGTGGTAAAAAAGAAAAATGAGTATAACCATAGGTTTTGAACAAATTTCCTTACATTTTTCATACAAAAATCATAAATATCTGTATGCTATTGAAATTTAACTTTGTATGATGCTTAAACCACTATTTGGGGAAATAATAAAATAAGTCTTTACCATGTATGAAAGAAATTTTAAAAAATACAAAATATTTTCTGATTAGCATCTAGCTTATAATAAATTTTCAAAAAAGCTGAAGGCAGAATTTGCCTTCATCAGGATGCACTGAGAACTATATAGTTACGTCCTGCTTTTTGTATAAACTGAGATGCTCACATGCTTCCCCTAGAACAGGCAATGTGCTATGCATAACATAGTTGTACATTATCTTTGCGGTTGCTTTGAGTTTTATTTTTTATTATTTAAAATTGTAGTTATAAAAATTTTCAGTATAGTACAGTACATATACTGTGAGGCGCGTGCTAAAGTGAATAAGCGAGTTTTCATGCTGACCCACTCAATGCTGTTCAGAGATCAATTGGCTTAGCACTTTCTCATATCCTTAGGTGCATTTAGATTGTCAGAGTTAACCTTCTGCGTTTAAAAAAAAATAAATAAAATACATGTATATACTTAAAAAAAAATAAGGTTTCCCTCAGGGGAAAACAGCAGCTACATGCTTCTTTCCTATACTACTGTAGCAAACCGAGGCATTGATGAGAGGGCATGCAAATTGTGCTTCACTTTACAGTGTTTATCAGAGCACTTAATAAAATGTAAGGCTGGTATTTATTTGAAGTTGTACAGTATGACTTACTTCACATCTGTTGGAATAGAAAATATATTCTGTTGAGTATTTAAGAGGCTGTACATGTTTTCTTTTGTGTTTGGATTCTTTGTACTTTTTCATGTTCAGTACATCAATAAACAAAGTTGAAGGGAAAGAACAGTGTGGTGAGTAGGTCTTTATACACATTTTGGGGGGCTACTGTGCTCTGTCTAATAAAATTTACTGTCTTGAGTTAAAGAGAGGTTCTTTCAGAGCTTAAGTTGAAAGCAGTGTTAAAGAATTCCAAAAGGCAAGTTAATTGAAGTAGAACTGGGAGGAGGGGGTCCTTGCTTGAATGATACTTTCTGATTGGTCAGCTCTCTAATAAACTAATTCTTATAGGAGCATGTACGTCCATCTGATAGTTGTAAAGTTTGGAAAATCAGATACTGATATTATTCTGTAGCTATGATTTTTACCTTCAGTCTTTTGCACAAATGGTAATTACTCTCACTTATTTGAGCTAAAGAAAAAAAAACCAGTAGAATGATGGTAACTTATACCATTTCCACTGGCATAGTGTTATTTATCCATGGGAGTAAACGTTGGTATGCGATATTTATTTCAGTTGCACAATTGGTATATTATTAAGAGACTCTTTTCTCAAGTCAGAAACGTAGTTTCTGTTAGGTTAGGGTGGGTGTGTATAGCACACATGTTCACATGCTTACAAATCAGGAACTCTGTCAACCCAGTGTTTCACACATATGTTCAATTCTTGAAACACACTCTCTAACAGATCTATGAATGGAAAAAAGATTCCTCAGTGTTCTGTGCGAGAATTATACTTTAGAATTTAAGAAAATTTAATATAATAATGGAGTACTTTTTAAAAAATTCTATACCAAATGGATTATTTTAATTTGATTGTCGAGTTTTTTGGTAAAAGCCATTCTAAAGTAATTGTCTTAAATTTGCAACCTAGTAGTCAAGAGCTCAGTTGAGTGACAAGATGCTTCCTTTTCTTTCAACATGCAATTAATCTCCAATCTCCATACTCCCTTTTTTGTTATATGAATTTAATACTCCTAATTTGGAGACGTTGGAATATCCTCCTTTCACCTCTCTCCTCTGGCATGCTTTATCAGTATTTTGACTGGTTTTCATGTCAGTATTTCTTTTATATTTGAGCAGATAGTGGAAAAATTCTTAGTAAAGGAGGTTTGTGAAACTGCTGGTATTGTGAGGAGAAATTACTTTCCCCCACTTTGGAATCCTTCCTCACATGTGCTTGCAAATCATCTGAATGGTATTGCAGTTCACTGTTAGAGTGGCTGACATAAATTCTTAATCTTAACATCATTTTACATTAGTTTAATCTGATCTGAGGAAAAGTGTGAGCAATTTAATCATTTCTTGAAAAATAGATTGCAAGATTTATGACACTTATAAGAGGATCAAAAATAAATTATAGTGGAAACTGAAAGTACTTCCTCCCTGGGTTACCTAGTGAAACGAAAACACATATTTTAACAATAAGTATGTTAAAATTTCAACATTTGGATTTCTTAATGTACTTCCAGAGCAATATGCTTTTGGCTTTTATTGGGTTGAATAAGAAAAAAAGGCAGTGGTTTTACTCCTTTTTGCTTTTGTTACCAAACTGGAACCTCAAGCAGCAGCGGAAAATGGAAATATTGATGAAATATAATTTATTTGCACGATGAGCATATATGGACTGTCATTGCAATGAATAGTCCATTATCATTCTGCCTATAATGTGCTTTACATTCTTCCTCTGAAAATTCCCAGACAAGTGTTTTTTTTTTTCCCCCTCTTCAATTGGAAGGCTTAAATCTCTACACCATGAATATGGGCAGCCTGTTGGTGTTGATGTAGGACCTTACTGAAGTTAATATTTCCAGAAGCTGGTTCTTAGCATTGTTTTTTAGTGGGTCCATGTGGGATTTTGGTTATCTGCCTACTGTGCTGTGCCCTGGTCTGTAAACACAAACAAATGCCCCTCTGACCTTCCTGAAGAGTACATAGAAAGGAGGACAGCCAGCCACCAGTGCATGGCTGGCAATGATATCAGATCCATGAGCACCGATAAACAGTCGAGATAATTTGCTGTACCCTTTTTAAACCCATTTTACAGCTCATAGATGTGAACCAACCTGCTCTTCTTACAGAGTCGTCTTTGCCTTTCTTTAATTTTTAGCTCACCTCTATAATTTTCAGTACCCTGTTATTGTTTAGTTGAGCAAGTCTTCAGATGCACTTATACTGGTTAAGTTGTCCAAATCCTTTCTGAGGCAAAATTACAAGTTCATAATACGCAATAAGACTCTACATACCTGAATGGTTGGATCAACTGAGGAATTTGGTTGGATCTTCTTACTCTCTCTAAATGTGTCTCCCATAGAGCAACAATTTGGTAAGCACTAATATGCCCCAATTACCTGAATATCAGAACGTGCTTGGCTGTATCCACTCAACTTTATAAGACACACTACAACCTTAGGGTCTCGAACTTGGTATTAATGTTACTTTTAGTTTAAAGAACTAACGATGTAGGTCAGGACTAAATTGATGCTAACCTTCAGAAACATGGATGTTACTTTTTCAAGTAAATATCTATTAGCAACCTGTTAGATGTAAATGTGAGAAAATTTTTGTGCATGCATGAATGCATGGAAAAGAAGCCTCCACCCTCACGGACCCTGTCCTTGAGACTGCTTACTCCACTTCTACAGATAACTAAACAGGGAAAGGAAAGAGAGCTGTCACTGAGGACATTGTTTTTAAAAAGAGGACAGCTTGGGCTCTTCAGGTGTGTTCTGGGGATTAGCAAAGAGAATGCAAACACATACAGCAGTGGTAACAATTGAGCTAGCCATTAAGAGTGGGTGGATGGAAAAGAAGTTGAGGGAGGGAATTGAAGAAAACCCTGTGATCAGAGGCAAGGCTAAGCCTCTGTCCACTTGTAATATTTTGGGGAAAGTTAATATTATTAAGTCATATTCGGTGTAGACTGAGTTCCTTAAACATTTTTGTGAACATGACTAGTTTAATCTGAGATTTGTCATTAGATAAGTAAACTGCAGCTCATATTAGTCATTAGAAATTTGAGTTCATGATGAAATAGTACCCACTGCTCATTGAAACTTCATCCTTTTTCTCTTGCCCATTCCTACTGCAACTTTGAAACTATTTGGCAAGATAGATTATATGTGAATTGGGAAGTTGTATAGGACTTGCTAGCGAAGATATTGCTTTCTTTTAGAAGAGGCATTTATTTGGAGCACGGTGAGCAGTATGACATGTCCAAAGACCAAACAAAATTAAAATCTGCCCAAAATAGCATGCTGGACTGATTATTTTTCAGAGTATATGCTTTTCAAACTGAATGACTTAATAGAGTGATCCTCTTAGCATTTATACTCTGTGCAGTGCCATAGTATCTGGTTTACTTGGTTGGACGTGTATTTCACATTATTCTTACCCATATCACTCAAGCATCACCTGCATCAAAGTCGAGAAGAGAATTATAAAATCCAAACGTTTCTCAGATGTTTCCAAGAGAGGTTTTCATTTGATAGCTTTTTAGCTTTTTGTTGTTTGGAAGCTTAAGAGCAGTCCCTTCTCCTTTGATAAAGAGCCACATAAAACAAATATCATTTAAGTCAGTGAAAGGAGCTGGTGGGTTTGTTCATTTGGAAGGGAAGGCCCTTGGACTGGACATACAGGTTGTTGATACCATGAGCTATCTCTAACTGATTTTCATGACCTGCTGCTTTCTGACAGTCTTTCCTGTGTAGCTGAATGTGTGTTTCCAGCCGACTTGTGGACTTGCAGACATGCGGAGACCAGAAGCTATCTTAAGGGTGACCAGCCTTTGGAATGAAGCTCAGACAGCAAGGTAGCTTTATTACCTGGGTATCAGGCTTTTCATTGTATAGAGGTAAAGGCACAGAAGTTGTCTAGGAGAATGGGGGTGGAAGGTCATGAATCATAAATACAGGTGCTCAGACATCCAGTGGATGCAGAACTTTTATTTTCTTAGACCCTAAATTAAAACTGTCATATCAAGAAATACTGTGGAGTACTGTGTGGGAAGTTAACCCCCACACATTTATATATATGTTATAAATCATCTTCTTTCCCCAAAAAATAGGTTTTTCAAAGTTGCAAAAGTAAGTAATAATTACAAGAAATAATTCAGAGGTTCACACCAAAAATTCCCATTTACCATCAGAAAGACTGAATAACTGTTGCCATAAAGATGAAACAAATTGCAAGTATTGTAGTAAATGTTCTTTAGCAAGATTTTATCTCAAGAATGATTACTGTGGTGTGTTCTCTGCATGTACTCAACTATACATAAAATTATTCCGTTTTTTAGAAGTTATTCTTAGAGAACTGCCTGTTTTACATCCATACATTGCATAAGAAAACCTCTTTGTTTCTATAAGTAAATTGCAACTCATATTTTTTGGATTAAGTTTAGACAGCCTGAGTACCAAATGATAAGGGCTGTTGTCCTGAGAGAACTCTGTCTTGACAGTTCTTATACCCACACCCAAGCTCAGCAGCACACCATGGTACACAGGGTGGAAATCTCTGTTTAAAACACATGTGTATTTATTTTTAATTCCCATTATTTCACTAAATGTATGTCAAGTGCCCACTTTGTACCAGTCACTGTGCTGCTTCTAGGCTGAAGATAGAATTTTTGTCTATTTTTCACTCTTGATTTGGAAGACACTTCAGGAGTCTTGGTCAGCACCTCATTTGGCAGATGTCTGAGTCAATCCCAGAGAATTTCAGGCTCTCTAGAATTCTTTTGCTAGCCTGAAACCTGGCACTTTTAACCCAGCTCTCCCCTAACTCTTGGAACTGTGCCCTTCATTATCATTGAAGTACTAAAACATAAACATAATTGGCTTTCATAAACTGTGTCCTTTTGTGGAGCCAAATTTCTGAAATGCTACAGGAGATGTGTGTGGCATTTAGAAGTTGAACATAAGCAAATGCATGTCTTTTATTGGATTCACTTCACATCATTTGTATCCTTGTGAATGATTTCAATCAAAGATAATAGTCACTGTAGAAAATATAGTAAGTACATAAAATACAAGTCAATATTTACTTCATCCTCTCCTGAAGAAGGGATTT